GGAGTGTCATGAATTGTCGAGAGAAGTCATTGTTTACAAAAGCAGTTAGGCCCTTATTCTAGCACTATCTAGACTTGTTAGATCATTGCGGTTAGAAGTACATATGTACCATGCATTTCCTTGACGAATGCAAAGTAATGATTTCATACGATTTCTTATGAAATGTGTTTTGGACGCTTAGCGAATAATTCTGATCGTACGAATATCATACGGATTTAAATATGACGATCTCTCTATAAGGGGGGAGGTGGTCCTAGGATTTGTGACAGTACGTATGGGAAAATGCGTGACAGGGTTAGAAAAATCGAAAAGCTCGTGGATGCCATATTTGAATCGCCTAATTTGCTAAGCTCCTCCTCGAATTAACTTTTAATACCGACCCTGTTTGGATGATCTGCAAAACGTTTGCTTAGGGTCGTGTTGATTAAATCTGATGTCGACATAAAAGCAGCCGGACATTATTGGTGGGATTTAATCCGAGGAAAATACCGGTGGACCAGTGTACACGGTATAAAAAATATTCAAAATTAGGTTTAAAAAACTTAACGTTGGGCTCTATAATTTGAAGTCCACAATTGAATGAATCAGAAAAGTGGCGTTGCACAGTTCGAAAACGTAGTGTAAATTTCTGTTCAATATGATGCACATAAATGGAGCGTCACATATCATATACATTTACATACGTGATAATGTTTGCACCATCGTACAAATAAGGGGCCACATTGCGCATCTCGAAACGAAAAACTTTTTCATACAAGCGTTCGTACAAAAAGTTTTTCGTTTCGAGATGCACAATGTGGCCCAAGGTTCCCATTTCCCCTGTGCCTTGATTTTCTTTGCATGCACGTAACCTATAGCTCATACCGTAGTAGCAAAGATGAATACTAAGATGAAACTGTCGGAAGAAAAACTTTCTATTTTAGTGTCTTCTTTCACGGTCCCTTTCATCCAAGGAGAACCCCCCGTATTCAAGGTAATTTTGTGGTTTTGCTGCCCCCTCGGAAGAGATGAAATTTTGCGCTCATTTTTATCAAAACAATCACACCAAAATCAGAGATGTCCCATTTTTTAATTACTCGATTGACAACTAATCGATTATTTTTTTGTTCGCTGTGCTGCCATTTTTCCACCAATGAGAGTGCAGCACATGTTTGAAACGATCGGTGATGATCCTGTGGAGATGTTAATGCTTATATCGGCAAGATCTAACCGATTATAAATAGTTTACTTTTCGGTTCGTTAATCGATTAAACGATTATTCGAATGAAAATCGGACATCACTAGATGAATGTGAAACGTCATTTCAAATATAAGGCCGTTCATAAATAATGATACAATTTGAAAGGGACCGGGGCTAATCACAAATTACGTCTCCATGGTAACTGAAATAAACACGAGTGTTCACCGGTTGGTAGTAGGCTGTGTACAAAATAAAATGATACACTCAAAGATAAATTAAATCAAAAAAGCTTAAAAAGTATGCAGATTCCCGCTTCACCTTATTGAGTCTGAGCCATGATTACTTCGGAAGTAGTCATGCATGATTAAATTCGAAATAATCTTTCCATTATTAAATATTACTCTTTTTCAATACTGATATATAATCAAAACGGATTAAAATTCAATCAAAAATTATTAAAATAGAATAAAAAATTATTAAAATTTATTCAAAAAAGATTATCTTCAATCTAATCAACCATGATTAAGCTGGGATTAATAGCAAATGCTTAGTTTTTAGAAAGAGAGTATTCATTTTTAATCTTTCGAAATGATTAAACTGAGTTTAATGTCAAATTGATTAAATTTCAGGCGAAGTGGGAATAGTTTAATTTATCAGTGTATACTTAGTTTGACAGTTGCACCATGACGAAGTGGCAGCGTATTCGTGATTTGTCCCACGCGCAAATTTCGCAAAAAGACATTGCAACCGCTGTGAGAGTGTCCCGGTGGACCATCAAAAGGGTTTTAGACCGAGAAAAGAAAGGACAACTATCCGTGAAGGTGGCCACAGGTCGTCCGAGGTCAGCTCGGGTTCCGAGGGTTATCGCTGCTATCAAAAGGAAGATTCGGGTGAATCCAGTGCGTTCAATAAGGAAAATGGCAAAGGAACACGGGATCAGTGACTTTACGGCACGGAAGCTCCTAAAGGAAGATTGCGGAGCAAAGTCGAGGGCACGAAAAAAAAACTCACATGATTATCAACCGCATCCGGGAGCTACGAGTCAAACAATGCAAGAAAATCTTGAACTTCCTTAAGCGAAAAAATCCGGTAATCCTGTTCACCGACGAAAGCATGTTTACCGTCGATCCCGTATCAAATTCCAGAACCGACCGGTATATTAGTTCTCTTCCGGTAAAATACGTGGCCGACGAGCACAAGAGCATGTATCTGACCAAGCATCCTGCTAGCGTCATGGTGTTTGGATTGGTGGCTTCCGATGGCAAAAAATATGAATAAATAAAAAAAAACTCGAAACGAAATGTTTGAGAATTTTTTAAATTTTACATTGCTTAATGGTGCAAACATTATCACGCATACGGTACATCATGTAAAGTTCTGACACATTTCAGGCAATGTAGCAAATATTGTAAACAAAAGCCCATCTATGTAAACAACATTGTTTGCAAATTGCTCGGTTGCGTGAAATGAAATACAAGTCTACGTGAATGAATGTTTACACCACCATTAAAATTCAGAACTTTTATCTGTGTCAAATTTACTCATCTATTGAGTAATAAGAGATGAAATCAAATTTAAGTTAATTTTCTGTTAATCATTGTTAAGCACAAAACGTAATATTTCTATGTCGACTGATATACATACATATTTCAATATATTTAATTTAAATAAAACACGCTGCGATTCAAAGTAAAAAAGAACTCAATTTTCAGTTAAAAGTACTCAACGTCATGTTTTCACCGTTGGTTACTTTTAACTTATGTTTGGATGAAAATCATAGCAACCTGCGCTTCCGTCGATGATGTCATTTATTGTACTCCATCGTCATTCGGGCTCCATTACTCCTCGCATTAATCAATTAGTCTTCGTTAGTGTTTAGTAAATAATGACAAGAAAAATTGTAAAGGAATCGGCTTGCTGGAAAATTATGAGTGTTTTTAGTTCCATTGTTTAAAAACATCTTAATCTGTATCTTCTACTGCAGGTTGATTCAAATAAATTCAATTTGACTTTGGTTGCCACATATTCCTTAATTTCCATTCTAAAGAAAGGAAAATAATACAAATTTTCTTCCAACTTTGGGTAATAGAATGGTATACATTTTACACACTATCCATCCCCTTAACGATTGATTGTTGGGTAATTTTCACTCAATGGATTCTTGATCAGGATTACTCAAACTTGAGTTTTCTTCTTTGACTTAATTTAGTGTTGAGTGAAAAGAAAAGTATTTTGGGTGCTCTCACTTTTTCCTCTCTTCTCAGTTTTACGTGGCTCAAGTAGAATGTATGTGATGTTCCTTGAAATTCACAGTAAGTTCCTTTTTAACATACCTACATAATCACGGGATTTTCACATAACACTGAGTCTATGTGCGTTTCACTTAAAGCTTATGTGATTTCCACATCTAAAAAAAAGTGGTTCGTACACTCAGAGCGGTGCAAATCATGGTGGCATCATGATATGCTTTTGTTCGGTATTTTTGAAAAATGTTGGCAAGATGTAAGCATATCATTATGGATTATTTTATTCTCTTTAACAAAAATTTGCTGTCTATTTCATCGTGCTCAACAGAATTATTTTTTAAAACTGTCCAGTAGTTTCTTCCTCTAAGGGAAACAGTACCTCGGCCCATCTCCCTGATCGTCCAGATTGTTTGTGTTGCGAATCGAATATTTAAGAAAATCTGATGTGGTGTATTTAGAATATTTGAATAAATTAAAGGAATATTATTTAATTATACTACTATGAAAACAGTAAAGGTTGTATCAACATAATATTTTTATGTCAAAATATTGATACTAGAATCCTCCAATAAATGTCAACGACCAAATCACGTAACTTCTATGTGATAATCCTGTGACGGTTAAGCTTAATGAAATGAGTACCTCTACATGAGAATCACATAGCGCTTATGTGAAAAGTACGATGGAAAAAATCTAAAATAATACCAAAAAAATGTTCCCACAATACCCTTATAATACCAAATTATGATAATGCAATACCAAAGCAATACCACACAGGTATTCTTTTGGTATCCAAATAACAATTTTTGATATTTTCATAGCATTTTGTATGCAATTTTTTGGTATTATTCTTTGATATATCCCTTAAATGCATAGTGTTGCCATTTGGCAACATACCTATGTTGGTCTTTAAACATGGTGAAACAACATTTTAATAGTAAGAGCAATATATACCAAAAGAAAAAAAAATCACCACAAAATAAAAAATCATACAATTAAGGGATATACCTCTATACCTCTATACCTCTAGGTCAGAATTAGGTATTCTTTAGTTATTTTCTCCTGCTCGGGTTTCGACAGAAAGCATGCAGAATAGGGAAAAAAATGGTATATGAAATTCGATCCTTGGATCAAAAGTCGGTTTACCAAGCGGTTTACGTACTCTTCTTTGTAAGAAGGGTAAATATCGTCTTCGGTCGAACAGTTGCTTCTTTGCATTCATCTTTGGCTTGAATATCACAGATAGATAGAAAAAAAATGTCGAGGACATGTTATGATTCGGAGTATGGTACGATGTATTTAATTCATAATTGTTTGATCCACCAGCATGTGACCCGTGTGACTCTTACAGTTTACTATAGTACAAGCCTCACCAAACCAAAGTCAACCTGTTACGCATAAAATTACTGCATTGGCAACTGCTATCAAAATTACATATGGCAATTGCAACACCCATCACAAAATTAATTGCATAAGATTTGAAAATCAATTAAATCATTGTTCCACTCTCTTACTCTCTCTCTCTCTCTCTCTCTCTCTCTCTCTCTCTCTCTCTCTCTCGTTACCGTTTACAGTACGATCGATATCCCAACCATGATATACGGCCGACGGAGTTGCTGATACCCTCGACCGGCATGGGCCATCTCGGAGGCATCACTTCCATGCACGGAGGCAGTGCGACGTCCACGCCGGTGGTAAATCAATTACATCCGAATATTAATCAGCCCACGGACCCCTCGGTGAGCCTCAAGCTCGGAGCCTACTACACCGCGGCACCAGCAGTGGGAGGCATTGCGCCTGCCAGTGGTGGTTCAACGATAGCACTATACGGAAATAGCCACCACCATCAGTCAAGTGGTCTGCTACCCAACGGAGGACCTGGAGCTGCCCCCGTCGCCACGCAAGGGGTCAATCCGAACGATTACGATATCAATGTACATACAATCAAAAATATGCTGATGACTACTAGGGTACCGGAAAGTTGCGTTTAGGTAGCTGGTGTTTGCCGGAAAACGATTTTTGATGAATGGATTTGCTCTCTAGTGGGTCTTCCCTGTGTGTTTGGATGGATATAGAGATAGGTGAAGTGAGGAGAAGCGTAGATTTTAATATCATTAGATGAGTTGTGTGCAGCAGATTGGTGGAATGATGATTGTTTTGTCCGAAAATTGCACTTTTCATGTCCTAGAAATGCATAGCAAAACAAAAACGATTTCTAAAACATTACAGCATTTCACCTTGATTGAAAAAAAAAATTGCAAAAACAAAATTCCGTATAAATTCGCCAAATGACACTTCATTTTTAAAGAACACATTATTTGCGAGTTATGATTAGTCCACAAATCCACTTGAACTTTGAAAAGGGACTCCATAATTGGTAATGTTGTTAAATTTATGGATTTTTAATTTTCGTTACAGCAAGTTAAAACTGACTGAATTCTCCATGTATAGTTTACCCTTAAACCTTTTTAAAAAAATCAAGTAGAATGCTACAAACTAGAGCCGAATTTTAAATTGCACTACTGAAAAAATACTGACATCTGGAAAATTTGGTTAAAAAATTGTGATCTTGATTTAAAGTCTGTTCCATTTAGAATTTGGCCGCACAAAATAGGTCATTTCAGGCATAACATTTGATAACGGCACAAAAACATTTGTAAACAAACTTTCTAAGACCCTTTACACGCAAACCAATACCATCATCGGATAGGGGCAACTATCACCTTTCCGAAAGTGGCATTGGTTTGCGTGGGCGTACTTTGGTTCGCGTGTAAAGGGCCTTAAAAAGTTTGTTTACAAATGCTTTTGTGCCGTTATCAAATGTTATGCCTGATTTCTCCAAGGGGAAATAAAGTACAAAAACGCTAAAGGTATCATTTTGTAGGATTTTTTTGTAGGAAAAATACAACTAAAATTATTCGTCAGCTTTTCGGATGAATTTTCGACTTTTCGCGGAATACCTCTCATCATGTCTTGCACAGTAGTACCATAGAGGTAACTCTAATACCAGAAGGTCCCGAAGAAAGGTGCTCAACTTTTTGGCTCAGCTCTGGTACTCTCTTCGGTCCCAAGCTAATCGATATACCCCTCGAAACATACGAAAATCCACGAACCCCTCATTTCATCTGTCAAACTTTCATAGGGAATCAAAACAAACATAGTGTAGTACTAGAATTTCGACAAGAATGGGGTACGTTAATTGATTTACTTGGGACCAATAGGCTAGTCAAGTAGTGAGCCAATTTGATATCGATAGTTTCCACCGGTTGGTAGTACTGTCAATCTCATCTACCATCCTTGTCCACCACTTCTCCAAATCAGATGGTGTTTTGATTGTTTTGCCACATTTCTTCATTTTGCGCTTGATAATTGCCCAAATTTTTTCAATTGGACGAAAATCTGGACTTTTCTCAATAAAATCGACATTATTCTGCTTATACCATTCTATGACATCACAGCTGTAATGGCAGCTGGCTAAGTCAGACCAGAACTTTACGGAACCTTCGTGATTGAATGAACGGCAAAATTATGTTCTGGAGACACTCCTCCTTGTAAAGTTGTCCATTTATAGTCGCTCCAGTGATGAAAACCTTTGTTTTCTTTTCGCAACTGCGGAGTAAAATTTTTGGCTCGGGCGTTTGCCTAAAGTCCATTTTTGCATAAGTTTCATCGTCCATCAAAATGTGAATGTGCAGAATTTTTTCACGCCTGTCACGTTCCATCTTCGATAACTTTTGGATTCATTCAGGCTATTGGTACTACTCCAAGACTCAGTAGAATTATCGTCAATTTTCCTCATTTTCCGGCAGATTTTTGAAGTTTTCCACAGTAAACCATGAGGCAAATTTACTCATGGCTGAGTTCCTGCACTTTTGGCGATTATGAGTGAATTAAACTCAAATTTGGGTCGTTCTCATTTGCCGTGAGGTTCTAGAAGAAAAAAATCAACATTTCATTAGAGCGAAACTGTTTTTGTATGCAATGAATTCAACCGCAGATTTCTCGCAAATAAAAGCTCACTCCTGCAAATTAATGATGAAACATTCCTCTACCCGATGGTGCCATTACTTTGCATTAATGAACTTTTATTCACGAGAAATCGACGGCTAAAGTCATTGTTTACAAAAGTACTTTTGCCCTTTTGAAATGCTGGCATCGAAATATCATAATATTAAACGTCAGCAAACGTAATTTTAAAATGCTCAAATGATGTGATCTAGGTTGCTAGGGCTCTGGTTGTCCCTAGCATCCTTTACGGGGCGGAACTGTGGAGCAGGGGTGGTGTATATCCATTATATTGCTGATTGTATCTGAAACTGGACTGTCCCAAAAATGCAAATAGTGTGATAAAAGTGCACGTTTTCGTCAAATCGTGTCTTCGGAGCACTTATTGCTTGCATAAAGAATAAGTGCACCGAAGACACCAAGACGATTAGACGTAAACTTGCAGTTTTATCACACTTTTTAATAAGTAAAAACGCGCTTATTAGTCCAATTTGGTGTGAAACGCGCAATATGTATGTACACTATGGTGGGTAAAGTTTGTATGGTAAACAAGGATGGAAAATCACTTGCACGGTAGCCTCAAAATACCCAATAATGACTATAAAAGATTCGATATTGACTACAAGGTAAGCATTTTTGAGGGAGACTGGGACTACCTATTAAATTAGTAACAAAATTACCCATTTATGAGTATTTTATACTCATAAATGAATAATTACTACTTATTTTAGTAGTTGCAATTACTCATAAATGGATAACATTTTACTCATTTAATGGGTAATCCCAGTTTCCCTCAAAAATGCTTACTTTGTAGTCATTATTGGGTATTTCCCGGCTACCGTGTACATTCAATCCGCGTCTAACTTGTTTTATCAACAGAATTCCGTAAACTGATGTATGAAGTATTTGTAGGTCTTGATATTTGGTAAGGTTCAAAAGAACGAGCTAATCATGAACCCAAACTTCTCAAAAGAATAGATCTTAAATAGATAGTTTAATGCTATTAATCTCCCTATCAAAATAGTAAGTTTCAGCGCCGCACTCTTTTTTAAAGGGATGAACTAGCCATACACGCTATTTCAAAACTACCCAAATTTGAGTAGAATCCACTCAGATCTGTCAAAACTGAACCTACCCAAAAATGGGTAAACTGTGTTGGAAGTGACAAGTTGACAAATGAACAACGTCGATCGGATTCATATCAATGTTGTTCATTTGTCAACTTGTCAATCCCAACACAGTTTACCCATTTTTGGGTAGGTTCAGTTTTGACAGATCTGGGTGGATTCTACCCAAATTTGAGTAGTTTTGAAATAGCGTGTATGGCTAAAAATCTCTATAATTGCCCTTATTACCGATGTCACTTCACGGTGAAGTGACAACTCGTCACTCACGGTGAAGTGATTCCCATTTGATTTACACGGCAATCACTTCACCGTGAGTGACAACTGGTCACTTCACTTCGTTTTCATCTTGAAGTGACACCCATAATAAGGGCCAATAAAGACAAAAAAACTCTGTATTTCCACTAAAGGTGCACTTGAGCGCGCTCTCTAAATGGAGCTCAGCACGATGATGGAGCTCAGCACGAAGATGGAGCTCGGCATTCGAGATCCAGTTGTGAGGCCACTAGGTACGAATTATATACTTCAGGCAGTGTACGCCGCTGCTACACACCACGTCTCGCTGGCGTATAACAACACACATTTCACGTTTGAATTGAAAATTCGATCTCAGATCTCCATACATTTCGTAAACTCGCAAAAGCAGCCCTAGCCTTCTTAATTCGTGCACCTATGTCGTTCTTGGTCCCGCCGTCTGACGCTATCAGGCTACCAAGATATTGGAAACTTTCGACTTTCTCCACTGCTTGCTCCGCTACCGTGTTGACATCCAACGATTTGGTGTTGTTGAAGTTGATGGTGAGACCCACCGCAGAGGAGCGTTTGGCTAGGTTGTGTGCTAATAGCGCAACATCATCAGCCAAATCGAAGTCGTTAAGGTGCTCGATAGTAATAGCAACAATCAATACGAAACTAACGATTTTAAATTGGCTCACCACTTTAGTAGCCTATTGGTCCCAAGCAAACGATTAACGTACCCTATTCTAGTCGAAATTCTAGTACTACGCAATGTTTGTTTTGATTCGCTATGAAAGTTTGACAGATAAAATGAGGGGTTATTGGTTTTACCTATGTTTCGAGGGGTGATTCGACAAGCTTGGGACCGAAGATAGTACCAGAGGTGAGCCAAAAAGTTGAGCACGTTTCTTCGGGACCTACTTGTCTTAGAGTTACCTCTATGGTAATAGCATAGAGATAACTCTAAGACCAGAAGGTCCCGAAGAAACGTACTCAACTTGTTGGCTCAGCTCTGGTACTATCTTCGGTCCCAAGCTAATCGATGCACCCCTCGAAACATAGGAAAATCTACCCCTCATTTTATCTGTCAAACATTCATAGCGAATCAAAACAAACATAGTGTAGTACTAGCATTTAGACTAAAATGGGTTACGTTAATCGATTTGCTTGGGACCAATATGCTAGTCAAGTAGTGAGCCAAATTAAAATCGTTATTTTCCACCGGTTGGTAATATGCTGCCAAAGCCGTGGTTTGACACACGGTCAATTGCACCTGCCGTGATCTCGTCGATTACGATTACGGTGATAGTATACATCCTTGCCTCACACCGGTGACTACCCGGATAGGGTCAGACAAGGCTCCGTTTTGCAGGACTCTACATGTGAATGCCTCGTACTGCGCTTCGATGAGGTTAACGATTTTTTTCGGGTCTCCTTTGTGTCTCAGGGCGTTCCACAAATCGTGACAATATGGTCCACACAAGATCTTCCGCCACGGAATCCTACCTTCTGCCGCCGGAGAGTTTCGTCGATCTTCTCCTGCCCCAAGTACAACGATGAACGTACCCCATTCTAGTCTAAAGTCTAATATGTACTACACTATGTTAGTTTCCTATGTTTCGAGGTGTGCATCAATTAGCTTGGGACCGAAGATAGTACCATAGCTGAGCCAAAAAGTTGAGCACATTTCTTCGGGACCTTCTGGTCTTAGAGTCACCTCTATGGTAACATGATGACTCGCCAGTTGTCGCACACAGTCAGATCTCCCTTC